CTTGTTTTGTCAAGCGGTCGCCCTGTATCCCTCAGTGTCACGTACACACATGGCTCGCGTGACCTTTTGTAGGATTTTACGTGAAGCCATCAGGTCCATTTTATTTGTCTTTTGGCATCGTTAGCATGTAACAGCGTCCAGTTCTTCGTTGTTAAAGCAAAATTCAAACCAAATGCACGATCTAGTTCAACACCGAGGTCTCTGGATCTCATGCTGCGCTCTTGGACTTTTTTTTAATAAACACCGCCACCTGGCGATTTTCCATGAACTACAAGCCAACCATGGTCGTCCAATGATATGAAAATGATGCATATCATTAGAATTATCATCAATGTTGAGGAAAAATAATTTCTTCCAACTCGGAATCTTTGGTTGAGGCTCGCGACGTCGTAAAGCTTCTTGAGAGAGGGCGAAATAATTACTCTTATGACGATTGAGTGAATCTTAGGACACAAGGTGTGCGAAGGTAAACTACGAGTTCAGCTGGTCAGAAATCGGTATCGTCCCCCGTCATAAAAATTTCTCTGTTTGTAGAGAGCTAAACTTTGACATTTGTCCGTGTGTTTCCCCCAGGCCTGCACGTGGCGCGGCAGGGACAGGAGGCAGAGTTTGCCGTGACGCTGAGGGACGGGGAGCAGGGGCGACATGACGGTCCCATGCTGACATTTCTCCCTGTGTTTCCCTCAGGTCTGCACGTGGCGAGGCAGGGACAGGAGGCAGAGTTCGCCGTGACGCTGAGAGACAGGGACGGGGAGCAGGGGCGACATGACGGTCCCATGCTGACATTTCTCCGTGTGTTTCCCTCAGGTCTGCACGTGGCGCGGCAGGGGCAGGAGGCAGAGTTCGCCGTGACTCTACGCGACAGGGACGGGGAGCAGTGGCGACGCGGCGGCGACGACATGAAGGTGGACATCGTCGAGAAGAACAAGAACGCCAAGTGCGTCCTACATTTGCAAACGGCTATTTTAATGTATAGATAATAGACGAAGATGGCATACATAATTTAAAGATACACGAAGCCATCATGTTTTATATAAATCAGAATGTAAACCTTCCTTGCAAGACAAGTAAAGAACAAGCAGTCGACGCTTTAGCCTTCGTCATGAAAATTGACCCTCTCACCTTTGACCTAATAGAAAATGACATAATCAGTATGTCAGAGAGTGTTCTTGTGTGTCTGAACATTTCTTTAAGACATTGTAAAAATTAAATTTGAATGAATGCCTTTGCCCATGTCTAACTTTACTTCTTCCACAACGCACGTCAAAACCAGATACGAGTACTCTCAAACCAGCTATGTGTGCCCATACCCCCATGGTGACTTCTTACCTTCAAACAGACACAAAAGGACATGCATTTACCAACAGAGACTAGTCCCTATGAAGACAAATACCATTATGTTTCGGGAGGGGGGCCTTTTATATCGACAGTTCACAAAACTTAAGGCTGTCAAAAGAAGCGCCAAAAAGCAGTTACTCAAACAACTGGATATGATTTTGAAAACGTCAGACGTTTCAGCTAGTATCCACTAGCGTTCGTCAGTGACTGAGAGACCAGAGGAGAAATGCAGGTTTATAAGCACAAACTATTGTCAAGACAAGCCTTCAAAGTAGTGAAAGGTATCTCTCTCCTTCCCGCAGACTTCTGAGATTCCCCTGGCTGAGAAAAAGGTGAGCGAATGAAATAGCAGGACATTGAAAAGGTGGGGTCCTCGCAAATGTATGGGAGGTAGTCTGTACCAGACTCTTTTGAAGGCTGAATGAATATTAGAAATCGGCCTAAAAGAATGTAGCTGGTCAAGGGAATTGTCAAACTTGACTCTCTATGGCCGGCTAACTCTCCTGGCCAGCTATATTCTTTTCAGGCTGATTTCTTATATCTATCCAGCCTGCAAAGGTGTCTGGTGGATACTATGGGAAGAGTCAGTGAACAGGACCTCTCAGAGCTGTTGTTCCAAAGGTTTCCGCTAGATGGGGCGGCAGCAACGTTCTCTTCCAACACATTTTAATCTATATATCATTAATTTGGATCGTACATTTGTAATCACCCTCCATCAGTTTTTGCCCAATCCCACGGTAAATGTTTGGAACATCCCTAAGCTTATGATTTCATAAATTACAAGATATTGTTTCACAGTTGAAGGGTAGACGTTGAAGAGCTGTATGTTGTTCCAGGTGTAACAAGGTGGTTATATCTGACCGGTTGGACGGGAGTTTTCACGTCGCGTACACGGCAGACGAGTCCGGGCACTACCTGATCAGCATCGCGGTAGGAGGACAACATATACAGGTTTGTTTATTTGTTTGTATATTTGTTTGTTTGTTTGTTTAGCATAACCGGTAAATCGCCTTTTAAGCGTAACACACCAGTTTTTTACATGTACGTACAGGCTGCTTAAGACCGGACTGTAAGGTTTGAACCACTCACACCGGGAAGGTCCCCTAGTCTTTTCGATAAGTGTGGTGGGTTCTTTAACGTGTGGGGGGTGTGGCTCCTAACTCCTACTCCTAACTGTTGCCGTTATGTGCCACTATTTCTTCCAAGTACTGATCAGATACAACAAAGTCTTTTGATTATTTGACAAAGTTAATTTATCATCAGTCAATTAATTATTAATTAGTTAATTTTGATTATTATTAACTCGTCGCTCCAGGGCAGTCCTTTCACGGTCTCGGTAAAGCCGAAGTGGAGATCTCACACCGGAGTTTTTCACTGCTGCACGTTTTGCTCCAGTGGGGGGAACAAGGACATCAGCTGCGGGTGCGGTGGGACTGTCACAGGTACTGGTCTGTATTGCACTAACTTGTGTCCGTCTGATTGCTTGTTTACGGCAAGAACAGTTACTCAAGCAACTGGATATGATTTTGGAAACGGTCAGACGTTTCAGGTAGCATCCACTACCTTTCGTCAGTGACACTAAGAGACTGCAGGAGAATTGCAGGTTTATAAGTAATAAAGTAATAATTGGAACTATTTGCGTATATTTTTGATACAAATTGTTGATTTTTCTTTGCTTGAAACAGCCCGGCCGGGCCCCGGTCCTGACATTGTGACCTCTGCATTACAGAGTTGACCGAAATGGACGAAATGTGGCTTTAAAAGTTCCTTATGACACACATTTGAACTCACACAGTCTATCCCTTACCCACACCTCACACAGGAGGCTACAAAGGTTGCGGGCACGGACACGTGGGGCACCCTGGGAAGTCGCACTGGTCGTGCTGCGGGTCGACTGTGGAGAAAGCGGAGTGCACACGGCCCCCTTCCATCAGCAAACACGTCACGGTCTGAGGTCTGCGCATGCCCGCGTTCTCTGGCCGCCATCTTGTTTATGATCCTTAGGCCACACCAAGTAGTTTTTATGGATGACGTCGACGCGCGCATTAATTTTGGCCTGTAACTATGACCAAAGAGTCACGACAGTGGGAAAAGGGAAGATGTGATGAAATGAAAGAAACAGAACAGGACGACAACTGCTGTTCCACTGATTTATTAGTCCTCTAACATTTGACCCCCCCCCTAGTATATTTCAAATCTAGGCATCTTGTATTTTTCTGCCCTTCGTGTTTTTCCGCGCTCTCGCATTAGATTTGGGAACTCTAGACGACGTCATCCATGCAAATTACTTGGTGTGGCCTTATAGAGTTGTTAATCTCTAACAATTTGTAAATCATTGTAAAATAAAGGCTAGTTTTGAGTCATATGACAATATATTTTCTAATAGACATGCATGGTTAGCCAAATTTTTCCTCGATAATATCTTGCCATACACTATGAAACCTGTGTGTGATATCCTAAGATTTAATGTCCAAGGTCAAGTATAACATTATGGATAGGTTATGGTTCCTAAAAACGGAAAGTTGTGAATATACTTACCCAAACGAAGAAATAATAGGAAAATAGCTCAATTGAAAATTCCTCTGCACATTAGTACTAACACTTCTTAGTAATTGTGTATTTTATTGTTTACTATCTTCTACGCATTCTGCATGTAAGTTTAACTTTTGACGGACGAGCTTCTGCTTGTTTTGCTTTGAAAAACGTATCTGTTTAACGTATATCCATTAATTTGAGTATGGTTACATATATATGACATGGCCACACATGAAAAAAAGATCACGAGACCAGGCAGCGATATTGTATATATTTCAAGTTGCTCTTGATGCCAAAATGATGTTTTAGCTCTATTAAATATATGCTGGCACAGTATACATTGTCTTTTTAAGCTACTGAATTTCATTTGCATTCCGAATGTTGAACTGCTTTTAGAGGAAGATCATATGATACCTAAGAGAATCTTACCAGAAAAGTTAAGTTCTCCGATGGTGTGGACCATACTGTGGACAGTTACCTTGCTGAAATAAGATTGTTGAAACTCTTGTTTGAGAAAGTGTACATATATCATTGGACGTAAACACACAGCTTCATCATATACAGTTTTGTCATGATGTTAAACAGCAAAGTGGTTCAAAATGTGAATGGACATATGAAGAGGGCAGGCGACATGTTGTGTATAAGACAATATGAAAATGTTGACAATCAATGATGACAAGACATAAGTTAAAGCTAGACTACGACATTGCTTTCTGCCACTGTCAATAAAGACGCATTTTTCGACAGGTAGCATAATGGCATTCTTATTTGTCTGCATCTTATATTTGCTTTTTCCACACATCGTTAAGCTATCCTAACCAAAATTAAACTACATACATGATTTGGTGAGCTAGTTTTCCTCAACTTTTAAACAAAATGTAGTTCTGCGAATGTTTTTCGAGCGACGAAATGTAGTTTCTCAAACACCAGAGCGACAACCGAGTACAGCTTTCGCCTTTAACCTCGCTCTTCGGGCACGATTCCGGGCTTAGCTTCAAACAAAGCCGACCCAACAGGCTGGGCGTGTCTGAAGCTAAGACCGGGCTGCAGCCTGGGGAGCGAGGCTAGCTTAGGCTCCTTGGCAGGCGTTCCGGGATCAGTCTTTTCTTCTGGGAGTGGGGGTTGGGGTGGCGCTTATTTTCGCATCAAACGTAGATCGCACTCATTAGAAGCTCCGGTCGCCAACCGTAGTATGCTATCCTTATAGATATCCATAGAAGGGTTATAGGACGTAGCTTCTATTGCTTCGATCACGAAATAAGCAAAATAAAACACGACCGATCCAGGAACGCCTGCAAAGGAGGCTACTAGCTGTCGCTCTACTGTTTGAGAGGCTATATTTCCGGGTGCACGGTGTACTTGCCCGTGCAGTGTTCCTTGGGAATCCCCGCCTGCTGGCAGCTCCGGTCGGCGGGAATCTCGTGGAAGAGGCTACTCTCGCGAGAGTACTGTCCCTTCTGCTTCGGTCTGTAATCCAAAACCTCCAGCAGCGTCTTGTGAAGGTCAAACGGCGACGTGGACCTGTTCTGGTTGACCTTGAGGCTGGCCACGATTCTGGGGTACTGATCCTCGATGTGAGGCGGCAGCACGATGCACATGAAGGGTAAGTCCCTGTCGTCCTCCGTCCCGCCCTCGGTCGCCACGTCCACCAGGTCAGAGAACACCACCACCACGGAGTTCTGTGTAACAGTAAGACGAATCTTGAAAAGAAAAGGGGGAGTAGTGTAATAGTGGGGGGGGGGGGGGGCGATAGGCGCTACCAACTGACCCGGCCAAGGGGTCTAGATCTTTTCAGCCGAGTGGTTAGACTTAGAGGGTGAGTGCAGGATCATGTGGACTGGTGCCTGGGGTTGGTCGTGGGTTCAAACCCCGGCCCGGGACCAGTGGGATTTTATCTGTTTCTACTGCGTACCTCCTGTTTCTTACCTGCAGGATCAGTTGGTCGTTCCAGAACTTGAGCAGGTTGGAAATGTCGGCGTCGATCGTGGCGAAGTCGGACGCCTTCCGCTGCGTTCGTGACGTCTCGTGGATGGACGTCAGAACGAACATCAGACCCTCGGAGTATTTCTGGGTGAAGTCCCGGGTGTAGTCTAGCGTCGCCTGGTGGGCAGGGGTGGAACCAACGCACTCCTCGGTTCTGGAACAGAGGGAAATTTGGCAGGTCATTTTCGCTTCAAACCGTCAGTCATTTGAAATTCAAAAATTCTGTCTTTTAGTCATCGGTAGGATTATAATTCTGAAATGTTCAGATCGAATTATCCAATATAATAGTAAACTATCTTCTCTCCGTGGCTGCAACGGAATATGATATCTATCCGGCCTTTGTGTGCCACACTAAACATTGTGTCTCAAACTCAAGACAATAGCTGTCATAGTATGTACAGGAAAGACGTTTCTTCAGTACCAAGGTCAGCAAACAGCAAGGTCAGCAAACAGTCCATTTCACCTGGACCTTTCTCTTTCGAAGACCTACCCACATGCCAAATATAAAAGCCTTCTTAAGCCTCACTGGGTCAGTCTACTGAGGAAGACCAGAGCGACTGGTCAAAAGCTTTAGGTTAGAGAACTTCTTTGTGTTGGATCTAAGGTTTTAACTTTACAACAACCAACCCGAAGGTTTTCTTGCCCTGCACGAGGAACGTCCTGAGGTAGTGGTCCGACAGACACCTTTGTCCCAGTGTTGACGTCACAGTTTAAGGAAGCTACGTGACAAGCCTCACTGGGTCGGTCTACTGAGGAAGACCATAGCGACTGCTCGAAAGCTTCTTTGTGTTGGATCTAAGGTCTTAACTTTAAAACAACCTACCCGAATGTTTTCTTGGCCTGCACGAGGAGTGTCCTGAGGTAGTGGTCCGTCGGCTGGTTGCGGAACGCGCCCTTGTCGTACCCCCAGACGCTCGGCATCTCCTCCGCTAGCAGCGTGACGTAACCGGCCTTCTTGTACTCTCCCCACAGCCACGGGTAGTTATCTTTGTACCAGCCGAAGTGCTGCTGCTCGATGTCAGCGTCCAGTTCACTTTGGACTTGTCCTATCGTTCAAAACGATAAGAAAAAAAAAACTAGAATTTAAAATTTGTGTATTTAAATGTTAATCGTACTTTTTTGTCGTGTGGCGCTGTTAATAAAAGTTATAAACTTGAGTGCAGCGTCAAACTGTCCTTGTTATGTTTTAAAGTTTTGATGCATAAAAAAACCTAGAAGGGGGGGTCGTGTGGCGTGACGGAGTGGAGTGCTAGACTCGAAACAAGAGGTCCTGTCCTCTAGCCCTGCCATGCCACCGATCTTGTGCCCTTGGGAAATGCACTTTACACGAAAGAAAATGACTATGTCTGTTGTTCGTTCATACGTTTGTCTGTGTTGGTGGTGGCATGAAAATAAGTTGAAAAACCTTGAGTGTGCCGTCGCCATGTCTTGTAAAAGATGTTGGAAAAAAAGGTAACAAACAAAACTATTGGATCGCTGGTTTAAAAAGTTGTGGAAGGCGTAAAAAATACATTTCGTCCTTGAAAATACTGCTCACTGATGTCTGTAATGAGAGACGAATAGAATTCGACCCTGAAGCGTTATTTGTTGACGTTTGTGTTTGAAACCCGGTTGTCCTGTTTTCTGTCAACTGGGATTCACACAGGATAAGGTCCGGCGTACATGTGTGTCAGAGAGAAGAAGACACTCATAATCTGTTCCTTCCTTCTATAGGTCATTGTCGTACCACAAATCAAATACCATGGCTATAGCTAATATATCGTGTCCCATTCCTATGTATGCAAGTATACAATCTTCGACGTCTTGAATTCCCCCATGCTGACTTTCGGCCAGGTACCGAGTCCTTTCACGCTATCATACCGCCTGTAAATTTTCACCCCAACCAGGTGCTGTAAACGTACTGTCTGAACAAGCATATACATATAGTACACAAACTAACAGCTGAGCCACCCAAAACAATACTTCCTACACCCTCACCTGTCATGGCGGCCGTCAGGGCAGCTGAAGTCTTCCCCACCATGTGATATTTGGGGAACTCCCGAGCCTTCAGACCTCGCGTCAGGAAACGGTAGGTCAACGGCAGGTTCCTTCTGAGCCTAGTAGTAGTAGTAGTAGACTGGTTTAGTATTTCCATTGTTTAAACCAAAATTACTGATTTTTGCAAGAAATGCCTGTCAGAATTCCGTTGCCATGGCAACACAAAAATCTAACAATGCTATGAAATTGTTGGTAACAATATTTTAGAAGTCACCAAGTTTGGAGGCCCTAGCGCAAACCGTTCGGGCGTTTAAAAATATATTCGACATCAAAGTTTGCGCGGGCATTTTTAGCCCTAGATAGTTAAGGATTTAATAGCAACCTGTCCTGGGACATGGAGCCCACGCACAGGAGAAGCACGTTCACCCCTAGCGGCTTTCCCTTGCCCTGCACATCCCGCTTCACCAGTTTGTCATTCTTCATCACCTGGCGAGACATTTCCAAGACATCAAAGATAAGAAAGTGGTAAGGCTGTACAGAATTTATAAAATTAATAATAAACTCTTGGAAAGACTCTCAACTGATTGTGGGGTCGTGTGGCGTAGCGGCAGAGCATTCGACTCGGAACCAAGGTTCGAGTCCTGACATGCCACCGATCTTGTGCCCTTGGGAAAGGCACTTTACACGACTTTCCTCACTTCGCTCAGGTGGAAATGAGTATTGTATTGTCCCCTGTGTTGGTGGCGGCATTGATATAAGTTGAAAAAACTTGGGTATGTTGGAATATAAAAAAAAAGAAAAGAAAAGAAAAAAAACAGCGTGTCGTGCAGGTACCTGTGAAAACAGTCGGTAGATGGTCTGTCTGGTCTTGTTGGCCGACAGCAGACGACATTCCACCTTGACGAACTCGTGCTTCATCGGGAACGAGATCTCGCCACGTTGGCCGAGGTCCTGCATCACATCTTTCGGGTTAAAACTAAGCACAAGGAAGAGAGACAGGACGTTTAATGGAGGTCCTGTGTTTGGGGAGAGCCACACCCCAAGCACGTTAAAGAACCCACCGCAGTTATGGAAAAGAGTAGGGGTCCTTCCCAGTGTGTGAGTGGTTCAAACCTTACAGCCAGGTCTTACGCAGCTTGTTCATGTACGTACATGTACAAAACTGGTGTGTTACGCCTAAAGGCTGTTTACCGGTTATGCGAAACAAACAAATAAACAATTCTCACGCGACGTCGTGGTCCATTTTGCGCAAGAACGGCTGGTACCGGCAATCCAGCTTCTCCCACCCATCTGCCTGTAGCCTGGCCATGTTAACCTCATAGGAAGATAACGCAGTTAGCAACTTTAAAGGCAGTTTTCAGGGCTTGCAAACCCAATTTTTCAGTCAATATTCTAGCCATTTATCTACACACTATCCTAATATATATTGATCCTCATGGAGCAAAAATACTAAAAATTCTGACGGAAAATGGTTACTGGGAGGGCCTTGTTTGATTTTTGGGTGCCACCCATAAAATACAGAACTCATGTTGGGGCTTGTTTCTGCAGTTTTAAATGCCCTTAGTATGTAATGCTGACTCAAATGTGCTAATATGTGAACTAGTATGTGTCAATATCATATTTATTGCCTTCTTCAGACTATTTCGAGTTTTGCCTGTTTGAAATCGCATTGGATGCCTTAAATTAACTCCATAGATGATAATCTGTCATTTTCATGAGCTCATATTTTGCTTATTTTGTAGCCATGGTCACAGAAAAGCTTTATGTTAGTCCTGGCAGGTGCTATACTTGAATAGGCCTATAACATTATAGAAGCTGTCTCATTCTGTCCTCCTGTCCATCTTTTTCTGTCTCTATCTCTCTTCCTCTCTTCCTGACGTTACCCTATGCATAGACTATCCATAGATATTGACAGAAAGACAAAAATGGTTTTCACTGAACCTTCACACTCACATCCAGTGTATGTATCTGTGATTTACTATATAAGTTATATACAGTGTTATTAGGCTTATTCAAATGTATAAGATGGAGAGAGGGCTAGCTATAACTGAGAACTTTCACCTAAAATGTTCACCTTGATGATGTCATCCTCCCAAGTAATGTATTTGTCTCCAACGTTAGGTGGACACATCTCTTCTGGCTCTTCTGTTGTCTTTTCTTCAGTTTCTTCCTCCTTCGTGGTGGTGTCGTTTGCCCTCCCAGCATCTTTCGGTACCTTTAAGATGTTCTTAGGATGCGGATAAGGTTCGTCTGTATCGTTTGTGGTGTCGTTCTTTTCCTCGACTTTGTCCTCGGAGGTTGTGAGCCAGGGGAGAGTGAGAAACGTGACGGCGATGAGGATGGTGATTATGAGAAGGACGCGTCGCGACCGCACCCGCGCCATGTCTCGCGTCTTTCTACACCACAGGTGGGAAATTCACCGTGTCAATGTCCAGCAGTTTTTCCTTGTATTTTACATAGTGTCCCACCTTTTGATTTATTATTGGATGCATCAGAATATGGATCAGAAACCTTGGTATGATCAGTGCTGGACAGCGATGTACAAAATAATAATTTTTCTTTTTAATTTGCGATTTTAAAAGGTTAGTAGACGGGATGTATGATTTCCTCATTATCATTTGCGGTGAATACAAACAGCTGAATGATGAACGGTTTGAAGAAGAAGCTTGATACGTTTCTGTCCTTTCATGATTTATCTGGTACATCGGGATGTAATAATAATAATACAACACATACAGTGAACTATAGTATAGTCCCCGGTTGTATTTGTTTAGATACATAAACAATAGATATTATTAATCTGCAAAGATAAGTATCAACTTACCTGTGCCAACTTGTAGAGTCGGGGCGAAAAAAGGTCTTCTTCTAACTTGAACAAGTTGCTAACAGATTCGACTTGCGAGTGAAAGTCTCACATATCAACCTGTTGTATTATTTATCTGATCCACAAGGCAACAGATTATGATAGCTCCACGTACCTCTGCAATCCACGCTTTACACGTCAGCTATATCACCAATCACCGACTGCCAAGCCGCGCATGATGTTTATATTATCACACTCAACCAGGAAGTAAAGTTACCCTGCCCAGCTCCAAACATTCTGTTATACTATCTACATGTTACACGTAATCTCCCGCCAATCGGGAACTGCCATCATGCACTCACGTGTCCTGTTTAGGGTCAAAACATTCTCGGTGCCCCAAAACTCACAAACAAGGAATAATCTACTGATGGTGTCTTGTGATAAGGTTGTGTATACTGTGTTAAAATTATATTTCTACATGTACTGTGGAATGCATTTGTTTCTGTTGCGAATCATATCTGTTGAGAGTCATATATGGTCTGCAAATATCTTTATAGTAGTGACTGTCTTTACTATCACTGCAATTCAAAATCGGCTGATAGGGGAAAATGTCTCAGTCTGTCTCACACTACTATCTCACTCCACACTGAAACGACTTTACTCAATGACAGTCACTCGAATTTTTCCCCAGGCTCTACTTTTTCTAACTGTAACCCTAATTCACAGGAATTAAGTTAGTTAAAATTATGGGATATGAACATGCATGTCAATGCATATTTTATATCCGTTCTTTCTAAGTTAAACCGGCTGTTTTGTTATCTATAGCAACATAGGGTTGTTTACTAACAGAATTTAAAGTCCGGTTGGGTATCCAGTGCATTCACTACGTGTGCTTAGCCTGTATGTCGCCCTCCCCAACCTGTACTATGGTTACAAAAAACTTCCAAACTATCCCAATGAACACAAACCTAACAAGAATATCGTCGATATTCTATGCAATAGGGTAAACAATCTCCAAGCAGATCCTATGGTGGCAAAAGACAGTACCAAATGGGCCAGGCAGTATGTATTGGCCTTGGGTGGCCCCTCTTTGGGTGGATCTCCAAGCAGATCCTAGGGTGGCAAGACAGTAGACAGTATTAAATTGGCCAGGCAGTATCCATTGGCCTTGGGTGGCGAATTGGACCCTCTCTGGCCAATGGATACTGCCTGGCCAATTTAAAACTGTCTTTTGCCATCCTAGGATCTGCTTGAAGATTAGGTAAACACTCAAAGCAAGAAAGTGCAGTAACATTCATATCATAAACTAGATAATGCAAATTTGACTTACACCAACATGAGCATGTCTGGCAGGTGGTTGTAGTAAATGTTACTGAAACGTCCTGAGTTGAGGTAAAGCCGGTAGGATTAACATCTAACAAACATGTCAACAGTTTCTACAATATCCGGTTCTGTCACGTATAGAAAACAGGGCAGTTATTTATCAATGGCCACAATACACGTATGAATGTGCAAATTACTCTCCAAGCAGAGGTTGTGGGGAATGATCGATAGCTTTTTATATATGGCCGTTTTTTGTCGCTAATGCCGGCAACCTTCTTTGGCTAGTGGATACTGCCTGGCCAATTTGATACTGTCTTTTTGCCACCGAAAGGGATCTGCTTGGAGATTATGTGTAAATATGGTATAAGGCCACACCGAGTAATTTTTATGGATAACGTCCACGAGTGCATTGATTTTGGCCTGTTCCAAAAAAAAAAAAACTTGACAAAAAATTCAGTTTTCTTTGACTATGACCAAGCAGTCATGACAGTGCCTCAAATCGTAAGATTTGGCGTAAAACCTGTAATGTGAAATGGGAAAATAAGCACAAGAAACAGGGCAGGATTTCCCACTGATTTATTGCTGTTTTCATGACGAATAAGAATCTTGTTGGTTGATACACCATGTTCTCACAATCAATTTGTATCCTAAACATCCTTAGTATATAACAAATCTAGGCATATTGTATTTTTTTCGCCCCCTCTCGCATTAGATTTAAGATCTTCAAGGACGTCATCCATAAACATTACTTAGCGTGGCCTAATGTCCGGCTACTTTTTGGTTGCTATGAGCCCTGGGTGGTGTTATGTTGTAGTTCTAACACAAACCGCTAGATGCCTCCACTCCCTTGATCTAAAATAACACTGTGGTGCATGCTTGCTCATACCCTACAGTGACATTATATACATTTCAGAAGGGTTTTGTTGTATACATTTTTCTCATTTTTCGCAAAATGCCACATGACGGTCTCATTTGGGGCTTCACAAATATGCAAATTAATACAAGCAGTACTCGCTTGCATATTTGTGATCCCCGAATGAGATCGCGACCACAGTCACAGTGAATCAATTACGTCACGGGACGCACCGCTAGCGGAGATTTTGTCCATGATAATTATAGGGCGTATTTACGTGACGTCTTCACCCTTGCTCGCCGTGAGCCGCTATGTTGAGGTACCATCCCTAAGTTCGCAGTTTTGCCAACAAAGTCCATTGATTTTGTCTTTTTACGTGTATTTGGTTATGGAAACGACTCTTACTCACAGATTAGTTAGGCTTACGGTGTCTCGAGACCTACAACGACGTATCTTCTGGATAAGTAGAGATATTTAGTTGACAAGTACAATGTGATCAGGATGTCAAGCTCTGTGTGGAGCGGCTAGCATGTCAATTTGAGTGCCGCGGCTGTACGGCTGGTTGAGGTTTCTGTCACACAGATAGCCAGTGCCTTGTTTCATAGAAATCCATCACAGAACTAACTTTACAAGTGCCCAACAAATCGTTTTCATGGTCGATCTGTTTTTTTTAACCCTCAAACCGCGTAGGTTTTTTTGCGACGAATCTTACCATATGGGGTCAAACTGGCCCCATAATGTTTTGCACGAATATAGTTTTTTGTGACACTTTTTTGTGATTTTCAAGTATTTGGGACAATTTCACATAATTAGTGCCTACAGGCAACCATGTCAATTACTTTTGACCAAGGTCGTCCTTTTGTCCATATATCCATAAACTAAGAACTTAGCTTTTGACAAAATATTTATATTTTATAAAGTAAATAGTTTGACTTGATGTTCTTTTTAGTCAGTTAGGCTATTTTTTTGCTTTGTAATTTTTCAATTATCTATTTCCTTGTGGTTTGGACATACACATTCAAGATTTTGAAAAGTTCCTCGAAGATCACAATCATTGGTATTTTCTCTTTTCAGTCAGTTTATTTATTTATTGAAATTGCAACAGTGCAATACACGCGGAACAGAGGCAGCTGTTGCTGGTGTTTTGTCCCGCACATAGAAACAAATACTGGGCAGAAAATACTCATTTTCACTTGAGTCTAGTGGGGAAAGTAGTGTAAAGTGCCTTTTCAGTCAATGAATGAAGATACATAGTCAGGAATGCTACATCAGATGTTACAGTTTCAAAATCTTCAAATTTATTTGGACTAGTTCATGCATTACCGTGTATGTACATCATTCTATGTTTTTTTTACATGTAGTGATCAGCCTCAGATTTTGCAACAGTAAACTTCTTTCACACACAATTTCTCTCTGTTGACAGAAAGCAGAGAGTTCATCAAAGGAGCGTTTGAAGCCATGGGGTACAATTTGCCTGTAATTACAATGTACAGTAATTCTTAACAATTACATATTTTACAATTCAACATTAGACATCATTTAAACGTCTCAATCTAAGTTCAAAAGACTCTTCTGTTCAATAAGAGCAAACACATTGTGTACTACACCAGTTCTGCAAATGCAGTAAATGATTACAAGCTGAATGACATTTTCGGTATTACATGACATGATGTATTTTTGCCTGCATTGAGTATTCCATAATACAGCTGCAGGTTCAGCCAGAAATTCACAATAATGAATAAAACAAGACCTTCACAAGAACTCTAAATTGTTCATAGGCGTATGAAATCGCCGATTGTGTTTTGTGAACTCTCTCAAGGTTCCTTTGTATCTTCAAAATGCCAGGGTGTGTTTTGTTCCCACCGTGGATGCTTTTCATCATGTTTAAAGCTTCCTGGTAGAGCTGCATGGCTTTTGTGTGGTCTCTGAGGTCTTCGTAAACTCCCGCGAGGTCACTGAGACACTCGGCAATGGCAGGGTGAACCGCATCTTCCCCATGAATACCTTTGTTCATTTCCAGTATCCTCTTGTGCATGTTCAGTGCCCGCTGGTAGTATTGGGAGGACTTCAACTGTTCTCCCGCCTTACTACATGCTGATCCAAGGTTGCGTAGCACCTCAGCGATGCTTGGATGTGCCGTACCCTTACCCCAAACCCAAATCATCTCCAGCGCTTCTTCATAATAACGGATCGCCTTTACGTTATCTCCAGATTTTTCCTGAGCTATTCCCATGTTGGTGAGTGCTCTGGCGGTTTCACGATGTGGGGTGGTCTGGCCGTAGAGCTCTTGGTACATCTTCAACGACTGTTCAATGAACAAAAGGGCTTTTTTGTTATCACCGGTAATACCCCAAACGCATCCCAGATTATTGAGAGCACGTGCAATGTCTGGATGGCGTACCTCGTCTTCTCCTGTTTCGTTTCTGCCGTGGATGATTTTCATCATGTTTAAGGACTGCTGGAGGAGCTGAATAGCTTGTTTGTGCTCTCCAACCTCTTTGTAAACCATTGCGAGGTTACAGAGCGACTCAGCAATAGAAAGGTGAGTCGCATCCTGCCCGTGTATGGCCTTGTTGATTTCCAGCGCCCGCTCGTAGTACTGGAGGGACTTCGTGTGTTCTCCTGCTTTACGACATGCTGTTCCAAGTTTGTTCAGCAAAGAAACAATTTCTGGATGATCCTTGCTCTTGTAAAGCCCCTCCATCATCTTCAGCGCTTCTTCACTAGACGACTTACTGCCTTGACGTGATCTCCAAATTTCCCTGAACTATTCCCATGTTGGTGAGTGCTCTGGCGGTCTCACG